CCTAACATTTGGGGACATATTTATTTATGGTCAATGCATTCAAAGAACTTTTATGATGTTAAAAAGCTACTGTCACCGTCAATTTTGACACTGAAAAGCAAGGAAACAGGTATTTTGCTACTGGCTAATTGTACATATTTTTAGTTTACCTTTCACAGTGCACAATTTTGGGACATGAGTATTTAAGAGAACAAGATCTACCACTGTTTGCGGCCTGCAATTTACTGCCCATTTCCCTGAAATTTAAGAAGAAAAAAAAGGATGCTTGATGTGTTATTGATAGTCTTCACTTTACATATATACAGGACAAAAATAACTGTTTATTGATGATGTGACACAGGACAGAAGCAGCTGAATGAATTCTGAGGTGTTTAGTGTCTGCTCCAATCCAGCTAAATGCAGTCAAATTGATTGGGCGGCATTTCATAATACAGATGGACAAGGACCCAAAACACACAGCCAAAGCAACCTAGGAGTTTATTAAATCAAAGAAGTGGAATATTCTTGAATGGTTAAGTCAGTCATCTGATCTTACCCCATTGAATATACATTCCACCTGTTGAAGACGAAACCTCCGACAGAAACGCCCCCAAACAACAAACAGCAAGTGAAAGCTGCTGCAGGTTGGTACATCTTGAGAAATAAAGAAAGCACGGAAGACAACAGTGGATGATCGCAGAATCATTTCCATGGTGAAGAGAAACCCCTTCACATCAGCAAACCAAGTGAACAACACTCTTCAGGAGGTAGGCATATTGATATCCAAGTTAACCATAAGGTGCATGTCACTCAGCATGAAGTTCAAGACTTCAGACTGTCATCGCAAAGCAAAGGGTTTTTAACCAAGTATTAGAAATGAACATTTTCTTTTCAGTTATTTAATTCGTCCAATTACTTTTGAGCCTCTGATGCTTTAGTTCCTCACATTTTTAGGTATTTTTTTGTTCAACCCACTGAATTAAAGCTAGGTCATTTACTCACAGTTTACCCATTCGGTGTGGTGAAGTACGGGACTTTTTGCAAAAGAGTAACTGTTTAACATTCTAATCTCTGATAAGACAACAAAATCTAAAATAGGTGCCAGTAAGATAAGCTTCCTTGAGCTGAACTATTTCTTCTAGGGACTTTTCAAATATGCTGTGTAAGAAACATGGTGAAGTTGAGCCATGTTGGGGATTTTGACTTTCCTATCCTCTGGTTATTTTGTTACACTTGTACAAGGTAGATGTGCGCGTCACAGAAAAAGGATACACAAACAAAACCTCCCCACATTCCTTTCACATGCCTTCCTTTCACAAGTGAGTGAGAGCAAGTCACTAATTAACTTGTCAGCAAAAATGAGGAAAACAAAGAACTACAGCTCAAAGGGCTTAAGTTGCATTAATTCATACAGTTCATACAATTTGAGTGCAGACTTAAGTCAAAGTTAAGTTTAGCAATTTGTTGTCATAATTAATCGTTTCCACCTCAGTCTTAATAAAAAGACAGACTATAGCCTACTTAAAGTATTTCAGATGTTAAATACAGCTTACAGTGAGCAACAATAGCACCCTTGTTCCTGACCACAAAAGCCTATTTTTTCTCTTTTTTGAGGCTTCATGTTTGGATTTTGGGTGTGGCTATATATATTTTTAGACAAAGGGGTAGATATGGGAAACAATAACCTAATGCCAGTGTGCTAGCTTGTTAACAAGGTTTAATTAACTGTGATTATAGATGTTCTAAATTTGGCTAGCAGCAATCTAACAAAATATGCTAAGTGGAAAAACCCAACAGCTGGCTGATACTTGCTCTTGACACTAACCTCAAGTGGCCACTAGAGGAACTGTAGTTTTGGTCATTTGGCTGAATTTCATTCAACCCCAGCAGTAGCATTCTACTAGTGCCACAAAAAAGTATTTTTGTCTTTAGATAGCAAGATGCTAATATTCACTGATAAACTACTAATCGTTTGCTTGCAGTTAAACGGCATTGCAAGCTGGCCTTATCAGCATTTTGCTCAGAATAGCTGGTAATGAGGTCAAGAGGCTTAAAGGATTCAAAATTGCCTTTTTGCCTAGCTTTAATATTGTTTAATAGCTGGTCGAAAGTAGTTAGACTTCATAAAACATTCAAGCTACATTCTTAGTTTTGAGGGAAGTTTTGATCTTACCGTTAAAAAAATCAACAAAGGCAGTGTAAGGACGTTGGATTTCCACTTCACCTGAGACACGAGGCCTAGTGACCAGTGACCTGTGACTGAGACTACATGACTGCCCGGCAACCACTGATTTCATGGAAAAGTATCCCTGGAACGGTTCCAAGTAGTTACTGGAGATTGGGGATTACCAAAATGGTGTCTGAGAGCAATCATGCAGGTCTATTGACCAGACAGTGACCGCATAGTCCAGTTGACAAGTGGCTGCAATTTTTTTTACGTTTTACAACCACTTGGTGGTAAGTTAGTGAATAATTGCATGACAAGATATCTGTTTTCACTGGGTTCCATGCAAACTACTGCGGCAGTGTATTAGCAACCACGAGCAATCGCAAGGACGTTTTTGGTCTAGCACCCTTTTTACGACCAATTTCACCTAGTGACTATTAACAACCTCCAGCAAGCTTTCACAACCCAATAGGCCTGTCTAACTGAGGCCTAATAAATGACTTGTTATAACAGTAAAAAAAACCCTCCAAATTGTTCAAAATCGAATTGCTTGTAGTAGGTTTCCCAGCAGATTCTCTGTCATTTTGTACAAAACTTACAAGACTGCTATTCTCTTCAGGTCTCCCTTGAATGAAATACGAGTTAAGCTGCTTGACTTATTATAGACCACTCCAGATCCAGCAGTGCTATAGGGTTTAAGCAGGAACAGGTAAGAAACAAAACAACAAAAATGCAAATGTTTATTTGCATTATTAATCATGCCTACCAGGAGGTGACTCATTTGGTTTCAAAAACTAATTCCAATTGTATAGAATATGACATATATTCACATAATACTGCTTTAAAAATGTACTTTACTGATATCTGGTTTCACTTGGAATTCATTCTTCAGGGAATCAGTCTGCACATGAGTCCAGCGCCAGCCAAGCTCATAGTTCAGGCTGCCAATGTTTAACTTTTTTTTTTTTTTTTTAAACTTTATTTCCTCCCATGTCAGGGCCAGCTGGAATTTTTTCTATTTCCTGCTCTGTTTCCAGTGTTTTAACAATGACACAAAGGATTACACAATCCTGCCCGACGGGAAATTCCGAGAGTCGGCCTACTTAAAGGAGTGATCACCAAGTAGCACTTGTCACACTCTCTCTGATCGCCTTCAGGTGTTACACCTTTTCAGCGTCAGACACAGAAAGGCAGAGTGAACGCTCTCAGTTGGCTCATCAACCATGGCAAGCAGGAAAACGTGTCTCATGGTAGCTCTGTGCTCCCTCGTCATTATCATCAACTTTTTTGACAGCGCACAATCAGGTATTTCATACTAGTTAATATTTTAATGCACTTTCACTAATATTGCCAGTAGTAAGTTAAAAGTGTGATTTATAGTGGATTCTTTGTGCGTGTGTGTGCTTACAGCGAGCTGCTGCCTGAGGTACTCCAATCGTCAGCCTCCTTGCAAACGGATTCTGGGTTACACCATTCAGAACATCAATAACGCCTGTGACATCAACGCCATCATGTAAGTTATAACGGTTTATATGGAAGTGTAGCATGATAAAAGCAGGTAGATTCATGAGGAAATAAGACATCTAACAAACTAAAACGCTAAGAAGTAGTCAAGTTGAAGTTTAAGCAAGTTGTGCATTTTTCTAGTTTTTGAGTAGTGTTTACTCTGTACAAAGATTTTAGATTATGGAAAAGTTTATATATCAAATGTATTATTATTACATAAAAAGAGAAATGCTCACATTTAAGAAGTTTAGGGAATGAATTAAGACTGCTCATAAATATCTGTTCAATCAGTTTATGTGGGCCAACTTAAGTAGTGGTATTCTCAAGGAAAGACTATAGATAGGAAACTTAACCAGTAATGTGATACACATGTACAAAAACCAGCAAGAGCTAATGCCAATCTTTCATCCTGGTGTCTGGTTATGAATTCTGTGTAACATATCTTATCTGCACATTTCACCTTGTGGTGAAAAGATAATGGCTGTGTGTGCTTGGCATTTGCGCTCTCTCGGACGGACTAAACCTTGTGTATCTAAATAGCAAAACAGCATTTAATCCGTGACTAAAAATCAATCACGATAAGTTCAGGACGCTCTGCAGTTAATAATCAAACTAACACACTGGAATGAAACTCCATCGAGAGAAACTGTATCTTGAGGGTAAATGACTGCTTTCATCCTCTTTCCCAACAGTTTTCATGCTCCGGGAAGGTTTGTGTGTGCCGATCCATCAAAGCCGTTGACCCAGAAAGTGATGAAGTGTTATGAGTAAGTATAAATGCCCCTGTGGTGTATTGTTTGTCTGTGCCTTATATTCACTCTCAGCTGCTCAGTGAGTCAAACTGATCTTATTTCATTGATTTTGTTTTTTGCAGTGAAAAGAAGCGGAAGACCAACAAAGAAAATTCTAACAACAATGCATCTTAAACTCTCTTTAAGTGTTCTTATCTGCACTAATATTATCATAATAGTAAATCTACACATAAATATAATTTGTTGTGTGACCTTTCCTTTTATTTATTCTGTTTTATAAACAGGGAAGAGTAGTATTCTTAATACATGTGTGAGCTATAAGCTTTAGTGCTTCAACAACAAAAAAACTTGTGCTTTTTTTTAAAGTAATGTAAAATATTATTATTTTGTTATATGTATTATTGTTTGATTTATTTTCTGAAGAAGATGAAATATAAAACCCTGTATTTTCAGAAAGTGTGAGATAATTATTGTATTTAATATTTGTCAGAGAATTTATTAAAAGAGTTATTTGATAAAAACACATGTCTGTCTGTATGGACTCCACAAACAACCACATGCTGTCAAATTTTTGTCCTTGTTCTACATCGGGTAAAAAAAAAAAAAAAGAATTAATCACGCTGCAAAAGGATCCTAAATAAAAAGAAATTAGCTGACAGTGATTAGCAAACAGTGATAAATATGTACAATACCATATTTATAAGGTTACATCTCTGTTTAAAAGGTTTAAATCCTAGTGTTAAACATTGGAAAAAGAACATCAATGTTTTTTCCTGTTGTATAACTGGAATACAAATTAAAGATGTTCTTTATTTAATGTAATTATTCATAGAACAAAATATTCAGAATGGAAGGAATATGATCACAAATGAAGGGATATGTTTAAGTTCAGTTCATTCACATAGACTGTGAAGTCTGAAAAATTGAGCCACTGTAGAAGAGTTATAAACCTGCTTTCTTTCTGATGGCCAGCAAGGGGTGATGCCTTTTGTTGCATAGACAATGGGAAAATAGCCTTTTAGTTGCCTCACTCTATGATCTCAGTGAACACTTTTCTTATGACTATATCTTGTCAGTCACTAGTTTGTGTCTTACTATCCATATGATTTTAATTTAACAAACTTTGTTTCTTAGTAACTGTGGGGAGGCACTCATAGATGGACAAAATGTGTTACCTATTAGAGAAATAGTGGTTTAATTGGATAATTCCAATGTATCTGAGCTTGGTACATCTGTTGCAGGATGGTTTTATGGGTTATCTTAACTTTAACTACCTAACTCTTCAATAAACAAACCTGTGGGTGAACCACCTGTCTAATAACGCTGGCATAAGTAGAGGGTGCAAAGTTCACACAAGCCAAAGAACGACAGACATCTTAATGAGGAAGGCTGAAATAAAGTTTGAAAAGAACTGAAATTACTTTTACAGTGCATGAAATGTGATTTTCCATTGTTATGTATCAGCAGTGACTAAACAAGCTTAGTAATTAAACCAAGAGAGATATTATACTTTAGACTTGTTTAAAAGGCTTTGTTTGCATTTATTATACATATGTGTCCTTTATCTACGATAGATATAGTAAGATATTCTTATATATTCATTATGATTCTCAGTCATTTATTATGTAAGTTATATTCAGTTGACAATCATTGTCTCTTACTTCTTGCAAAACTTCTTTGTTTCAGTAATGCAAAAAGACGATGTATGATTGAATGAATTATGTGCAGCATTTTAATTGACCAAAATGCTGACTCTGTAATACTTTGATTAACAAGAAATTGCAGTGAAGTTATCATAGACATTTGTTTCATCTTTTCTTGCTTCACTGGTTCTGTTTAAAACCAACATTTCTGTAAGTAAGTAAAACTTCAAATATTTGCTGGAGAAACACTCAAAACTTTTAAAATAATGAAACATCAGAACACTGTAAACTATTATCATGGAATAAAAAAATTAAAAAATAAATCTATAACCTTTAAAAAAGAGAAAAAAAAATTGCTTTAATTTCCTCATGGCACAGTTGACACAGTGAGAAGTAACATCTTTCCTTCTGGATCTTCTCTGGTCTCCAGAGCCTGGCAAAGTTTCTCCCAGAACAGCTCGGTGTGCTCTCCAACTCGCGGCCAGCTCAGGTAGGTTTTCCTCTTTATCATCTTTCTCATGCGGTGGTAAGGAGACAACAGATAGCTGGGAATCTCCTCCATGAATACCAGGATTAGAACGTCTTTCTGCTCATCAAACAGACGGAAACTAAAGATAAGAGGGAGAAAAGGGATGCATAAGTACTCTCTTTAAAAGAGTAAAGTAATGAAGATAATACAAAAATAAATGAAATAAACATGTTTTAAGAGAATAAAATAAAACACCTGTGAACATGGCAGATTAAAGAGGAAATTAAAAGCTAGCAAAAAAAAAAAAAATCAATGAAATTTTAAGCATGCCGGTGTAACATATACAGTGCTGCACAGATCAGAAAATCACATAGTGGAACACAGTAATGTCAAGTCCTCTTCTTTCAGCTGTTCCCTTTAGGGGTCACCACAGGGGATCATCTGCCTCCATCTCAACCTATCCTCTTCCGCCACATATAGTAGATGCAGTTAAGCACGTCCTGCTTCACATCCATGAACCTCCTATGTGACCTCCTAAGCCATCTTAACCTTGCCTCTCAAACTTTGTCTCCAAACAGGTCAACCTGAGCTGTCTCTCTGATATTCTCATTTCTAATTCTGTAACTCCCAATAAAAAGTGGAGTAATTTTGTTAGGCTGGCCACTCATGGGAAGTTTAATTGCTGTTCCAAGTTTTGTGGATAATGGCTCTCACCATGGTTCGCTGAAGTCCCAAAGTCTTTATAACCCCTTCCAGACTGACAGACGTCAATGACTTTCTTATCTTTCTTGAGCTTCTTTGGATCTTTGCATGCTGAATTGCTGTTTGAGATGTTTTACCTTGTCAGGCAGGTTCTGTTTAAGTAAATTATTGATTTAACAGGTCTGGGAGTATCAGGCCTGGGTATGGTTAGTGAATTTGAACTCAACTTTGAACTCAACCACATAGGTTTGAAAGCTTTTTTCCCCCTTGATAAATTAAATCATCTTTTAAAAAATAATTTTTTTATTTGCTTTGGTTACATTTGTCCAATATTAAATGTTGTTTGATAATCTGAAACATGTAAGCGTAACAAATATGCAAAAAAACAAAACAAAAAAAAAAAAGTAGAAGAAAAAAGAAATCAGTAAAGGGGCAGATGCTTTTTCATGGCACTGTATTTGGAGTAACTTTGGTTGTGCCATTGTCACTGTTGACATTAGCATAAAAGCACTGTTAACACCTTTCAATTTCAATTTTATATTTTAATGTTATTGCTACAGTCTTGTGGTGCGCCAACAGGTTACCTGGCTGCCTGGATCTCTCTGGAGCACCATTCACTCTCGAGGTATTTGCGACTGATCACACAAATGGTCTTCCTGCTTCCATAAATAGCATCTGTAATGTTATCTATGATGGGTCTCCCTAATGAGGAGAAGAAAAATAACACAGCCAGTAATAAAACCATGAGGTTTGTATCCTCAGCTTTTTAGTAAAGTAGTATAGTGACACCCTCTGGAGTACATATGAAAGTGCACATTTGACTGCAAAAGCTTCTAACACCATGCCCTCATTGTCTCCAGATAATTGTTAGATAGTGCAATTATATAAATCAAAAGAGAGACTAACTGCCACTTCAAATATAACTGCATAAGTCAAATGATGTTACATTTTTCTGAAAACATTCTAGAAAATGTCCTGAATCTAATAATTTAGTTGGGATTAAACAGAGATACCGACAAACACACAATTTTAAGAGACATCCCACTTGTCAAGCCATTAATATTTAACTTTAATTAAAACTTGCATCTCACCTGGTTCAAAGTCTCGATGGTGTAGGCACAGTCTCCAGCCCTGTTCTCCTTCCAGTTTTGGTAAGAGCTTGTCAATGACCCAAGGCTCATCGTGGGTGTTGTAGGAGATAAAGGCGTCGTACTGATGATGAGTTTTCTTGTTTTTGTGCTTTCTATCAAAGAGCCAAGCTATGAACAGGTAATAGGCATAGACCAGCTGCAACCCCATGAAATGGTAAGTGAAGGACACCACCATCAAGCATAGGATTGCACACGTGGTGAGAACAAAGCAAATAAAGTCAGTGTTATCTGGGCAGGAGCTGGTGTCCAAGTCCAACAGCTTCTTACTTTTGAATTCTTGTGGATAGTTGCACGTAAAGTTATATGCATCATAAACCTGAGTTTTGTTGTTATTTATTGCCCACGAGAGAAACCAGCTGTTATCACAGTTGCAGGTGAATCCATTGCCCTGAAGGTCCAGATAAGTCAGAGCTGGTAGGGATTTTATATCTTCTTTGCGGATAACTGGATATAAATTCTGTCTTGCCTGTAGAAACTCCAGCTTTGTGAGGTTGGCATCTTTAAGGAACTCTAGAGAGTAAAGAGCTGTCCTGGATATATAAAGGCTTTTAAGGTTTGGAATTGGGAAAAACAGATCTGAAGGGAGTTCTTTAAGTTCATTTGAAGAAAGTTCAAGTAATTGCAGCTGTGGCGTGTAAACAAAGGTGTCTTTGTCCAGAGACGCAATACGGATATTCCTGGCTTTGAAACTCAAAAGACTGGTCAAACCTTGCAAAAAGTTCCCAGGCAGATAACTATGCAACCTGTGGTGTTGTGAAAAAACAAGCAGTTCCTCTAGATGGGACAGCTGAGAAAATGGAGGATCCGGCAAATTTCTACTTTTCTTGTAATTGATGTGATTTTCACTCAAATCAAGTCTTCTTAAATTAATCAGAGGACTGAAAACATCTTTGTTTAGTTCATCTTGTGAAATATCATTGTTTTGTAGATTAATTTGGGTCAGATTTGTCAGTCCACTGAAACTCTTACTTTCAAGTACTTTTATTTTGTTTTGGTGTAATGACAGGTTCTGGAGGGAGTGCAAGCCTTTAAATGCATCCCTTTTGATAGCAGTGAGTTTGTTTCCATTCAAATGCAGCTGTGTGAGGTTTGGCAAATGTTCTTTGAAAGCACTGTTCAATTTAGTTATTTGGTTTGTCTGTAATTTTAGAGTTTGTAATCCTTTTAAATCCTTGAAAAGACATGGTTTCAGAGCTGTGATTGAATTCTGATAAAGATAAAGCTTTCTGAGCTTTGTCTGATTGGTGAAATCATGGCAGTCCAGTGTGCTGATGTTATTGGTGCTGAGATCCAGCTCTGAAAGAGTTGGTAGATTCCTTGTTGCAGCTGGAACCAGTGGAAGCCTGTTTTTACTCAGCGTTAAAATCCTTAAGTTTTTAAGGGATCTGAAAGCATCATCATGGATGTATTTTATTTTGTTGTCTGTCAAAACTAACTCAGTTACATTAATACACAACTTAAACAAGTATGCATTAACAAAGCTGAGCTTATTGCTTCGAAGCTGCAGAGTCCTCATTGTTGGGATGGTGCAGGAAATGTTGATCAGTGTGGTCAGGTTATGTGTCATTGCATTCATTCTCAGAATAGTTAATGATGAGTTCACTGACTCTAACAACCTTTCCATGTCCCCAAGACCCAAATGAAGCTCACTAATGTCAAGAGTAGTAACACGACTAAGAAATGTCTTGTTTTGCACGTCCCATATCATCTGTTTCTTTTTGGCTGGGCTCCCAATTTTAAACCAGGTGAGATTTGGAAAAACATCGGCAGTGATCCTGAAGACTGCGAGGGGATTTTTCGACAAATCAAGGTACTGAAGTTCTAATGATTTGTTTGTCAGTTCAAATGACTGAAAAGTGGTTAAATCATTGTTGCTTATTACCAGCTCCCGTAGATGTGGCAGATGTTGCAATATCAATTGAACTTTTGTAATGTGGTGCAGTTTGTTATGAGAAATGTCCAGAAGTTTTAAACTTGTCATGGACTTAAAAGATGTGGATGCCATTTGTTTAATGCGATTTTGATTAATTCTTAGCTCAATGAGGCAACTCAAGCCATCAAAAACATTTTCTCCCAGTGTAACAAGTTTGTTATTATTTAGATTTAATGTCTCAAGAGAACTTAGACTGGCAAACGCACCGCTTTCTATCTGTGAAATGTTGTTGATATTAAGGTCTAACTTAGTCAAATTTAGTAGACCTTTGAAGTCTGATGCATGTATTGTTGAAATTCTGTTAGAAGTTAAATCGAGGCCTGTCACAGTTGAGGGAATATCTTCAGGAACAGCTCTGAGTTTACTTCCGACACATATGGCTGTACTGTAGCTGATTCTGCAAGTCTTCAGGGAAAATCCATCAACCGGCGCAATGAAATTGATGATGCACAGCATGTAAAAAATAATCCGCGATTTGCAACATTTTGTTCCTCTTTCTAATTTGGTTTGTTCCTCTTCCAATCCAGGATCCATTATTAATCTTTGTAACAAACAGGAAAGCTCAACACAGACAACCAGAAAACAAACTATAGTCCACTGTCCATAGTCCACTGAATTTAACTGCCACAGACAATCCTGGGAAGCCAAAAACAAAAAACATAAAGAAACAAAAATTAAGGAATCAACAAGAAAACTAATTGCAAAGAGTCAAAAATATCTTATTCATCTTACAACCAATACAAAAATGCATCAAGACCTCTTTATTCCAAATTTATGACATGCGCTGTGTCACATTAGGATGGAACTATCCAGAAATCTTTGTGTTGTACTTGACACTTTCCACCAACTTCTGTTATTTCTTTCCTTTTACTAGTTTAATATTTAAAAAAAAATAGTGAAAGTAGCCAGGAGAAGATTTGGAGAAGTTTAGACATCTTCAAAATATGGTGTGTATGCAGGCTTTAAGTGTTTAATGGAGTAAGATGTATCTTGATTTTATGACAAATACAGTGGCTTGCAAAAGAATTCGGCCCCCTTGAACTTTTCCACATTTTGTCACATTACAGCCACAAACATGAATCAATTTTATTGGAATTCCATGTGAAAGACCAACACAAAGTGGTGTACACGTGAGACGTGGAACGAAAATCATACATTCCAAACATGATTCCAAACATTTTTTTTTTTTTTTACAAATAAATAACTGAAAAGTGGGGTGTGCATAATTATTCAGCCCCCTGATTCAATACTTTGTAGAACCACCTTTTGCTGCAATTACAGCTGCCAGTCTTTTGGGGTATGTTTCTAGCAGCTTTGCACACCTAGAGACTGAAATCTTTGCCCATTCTTCTTTGTAAAACAGCTCCAGCTCAGTCAGATTAGCTGGACAGCGTTTGTGAACAGCAGTTTTCAGATCTTGCCACAGATTCTCGATTGGATTTAGATCTGGACTTTGATTGGGCCATTCTAACACATGGATATGTTTTGTTTTAAACCAGGGCTGCCCAATCCCAGTCCTCGAGAGCTACTATCCTGCAGCTTTTAGATGCATCCCTACTCCAACACAGCTGAATCAAATGGTTTGATTACCTCTTCAGCATGCCATTGTGTTTGGCAAAGGCCTGACAACAAGCCATTCATTTGATTCGGGTGTGTGGGAACAAGGATGCATCTAAAAGCTGCAGGATAGTAGCTCTCGAGGACCGGGATTAGGCACCCCTGTTTTAAACCATTTCATCATTGCCCTGACCTGTCTGGTGTGTTCTTTGGACTTCATGGTGTTGTTGTTCCCAACATTCTCTTAGACAACTTCTGAGATCATCACAGAGCAGCTGTATTTGTACTGACATTAGATTACACACAGGTGCACTCAATTTAGTCATTAGCACTCATCAGGCAATGTCTATGGGCAACTGACTGCACTCAGACCAAAGGGGGCTGAATAATTACGCACACCCCACTTTTCAGTTATTTATTTGTAAAAAATGTTTGGAATCATGTATGATTTTTGTTCCACTTCTCACGTGTACACCACTTTGTGTTGGTCTTTCACGTGGAATTCCAATAAAATTGATTTATGTTTGTGGCTGTAATGTGACAAAATGTGGGAAAGTTTAAGGGGGCCGAATACTTTTGCAAGCCACTGTATCTTATGATGCAGTGTGCAGTCTTGAGTCACTCCTCAGTTCTTTATATTTAACCAGAAAAATGGAACTAGGTGCACCTAATTATAGAACGTTGATGTTTGGTCACACCACATTTATACTTCAACACAGGCCAAACTCTTTTAGGCAAGCTTTTTTATAACTTATGTAAGTAGCCTTCAGAAACAATTTTGAGGCTCTGGAAAGGCCAGTGCATGACTGTACTGTTCCACTCTGTGTTTTTTTCTATTCTGCTTTACTGCTTTACTCCACTGGCAGTGGATTTTGGATCACTGTCATGCTGAAAAATGAAATGTTGCAAATAAAATGTTTCTGTATGGTACTACAGGACGGATCAAATTCTTGAGGTACCCAAATCATAACAGAACCTTTACTCTGTTTTACAGATGGCTGTAGACACTCATTGTTGTATCTCTCCTGACCTCCTCTGTACATACTGACAATGTGAACCAC